GCGGGACATGGAGGAGCGGGACGGCCGCGCCGGAGGCTTCAGGAAGGTGCGGCGGTCCCGGCGGGGGGGTCGGTCCCGGGCGGGGGGTTTCGGGCCCGCTCATCCCTTCCTCTCTCCGCGCAGGACACCGTGGACCGGCTGCTCCGCCTCCATTTCCGGGACGGGAGGACACGAGGTACCGGGGCAGCGGCGGGCGGTACCGGGAGGGCCCGGGCGCGGCTGGCTGGGCCCCCGCCTGCCCTGAGCGCCTTGTCGTTGCAGTGAACGGGGACGCGCAGCTGCTGATGGCCGAGATGCTGAACGTCTTCGTCCGAGGTGAGCGCGCGGGGTCAGCCCCAGCCGCCCTGTGGGCCCGTTACCGACCGGCGGGCCCCCCCCCCGCCCCAGCCTTCGCCCCGAGCATCCAGCACTTCGTCTCATCCCGTGCTGCACCAGCTCTGCTGTCTCCTGCGCAGCCGAAGCCCTGACACCGCTTCCCGCACTCCTCCGGGCTACCTCCCTCCTAGGAAACTAGCCAGGCCCCCCGGGCGGGACCCCCCTCCCCGGCAACTCCCATACCCCTCTCACTGCCCTCCGCTTTCCCTTGTCCTGCAGAAGCGGCGGCACGGGCAGCGCGGCAGGCTCAGACAGAGGACCTGGAGAAGGTGGATATTGAGCATCTGGAGAAAGTGCTGCCGCAGCTGGTACGTAACCATGGGCCTCAACTGCACGGGAGCAGGATGAGGATGTGAGCTGAAACAGCTTGATGCTGTTCCCCTTGGGAGATGTTTCAGGAACCTGGCCTATGTGCTGACTGGCTTGCTGCTCTCTCCTTACAGCTTCTGGATTTCTAGAGGCCTCCTGAAGCACATGCTACCTGCCAGCAGATGGTCCTGACCTGACAGCAAACATCTGTCTCAGCCTCAGAGTCCAGCTCTGGGAAAAACAGTTTCAACTTTTTCTTCCTCTGTTGTTTTGCTTCTGTTTCCCCTCCCTTTTACCAAGCACAATACAGCCCATAGCAATGATGCTGTCAGATACTATTTTTGAGAAGAGGCTGTCGTAGGCTTGTTTTGTTCAGCTGAGTATGTAACTGGTTTCCGTCTTGCTGCTTTACTCCTGTTAACAGGGGCCTGTACTTCACAGCACGGTAGGATGCTGTTGCTTTCTCAGCTAATGTGAGAAACAGGTGCTGCTTCACAGGGATGCATGGAAAGACTTAATGGCTGGAAATACCATCCAGTCTTCAGGCTCTCCTTGCCTCAGCAGGCAGCTGTGACAGCAACTCTAGTAGCTCCAAGCCTGTATAATGAATAGGTCGTTAACAGGAGCTCAGTCACAGGCTCTTGCCAAGAGCAGGTAACTGATCTTTATTTTATAAATAAACAGTGTCTGTCCTTCACTACCTTCCAGTATTTCTCTAGAGCTGTGACATCAAAGAATACTCAGAACCTTTTAACCATTTGATATTCTCCTCAGAAGCTGCTTCCCCTCTGCTATAAATTTGTTCTCACAAACATCAGTAAGTTAAAAACCCGTCTCCCTCCCTCCGCTGTAATTAATCATCAAAAGTCAAGTTGCTTCAAAGACTTGAAGAGTTTCCCCCTCACCCACCCTCTTCTCTAAATCTTTGTAGGAGGAAAGGAAAAAAGGACAAAATAACAAACAGCATGTGTGAGAATCCCACATCACGGGACAGCCTGGCCCCTCTGGCAGTGGGGGGAAGGGAAGGGGGGGGGAGCAGGGGGGCGCTATGAAATAAGAAACCTCACACATGTGGGCAGGACCCACACAACCCAAGTGGCTTTGTTGGGAAGTGCATGGCCCCTGCAGGAGCACCACTGACGGGCCATGGCTCGGGGCCTGCGCTCCTGCTGTGGGATCAGCAGCAAGCAGGCCTGTTCCCAGGGACAGCTGTGGCAGGCAGAGGCTCAGTAGGTCCTTGTACTCTTTTCGGCCAGGAGCTATCAGGGTCATTCCTCAGGACACCAGCCACTTGGAAACCTCATGAAAACCGCAGTTTAATACACATTCTGATGACAGTACCAGCTTAAGCAGTCCCCAGCAGCCCTCTGCCACTCAGCCAAGACAATTGTTTGTGCAGCTGTACAACGCACCCTGTGAAGGAACTGACCTAGTTCAGCCTTCAGCCCCACAACCATTGGTAAAAAAAAGGCAATAGCAAAAAAATGCAACTAATGCTACCTTTGAATGCCCCAAAACCCCAGGGATGAGTTCAGCTATTACAGCAGAAGTGATACTGAAACAAAACTAGCTCATCAGGTACCTGCAGATATTGTTCTGCAGCAGGGCCGAAATCCTTGTAGCAAGCAGCTTAGTGAACAGCCTGCAGTTTTAAATGTCAGGGCATCTTGTCCCCCTTAAAGAATTCAGTCCTACTTTCTTGCCTTTTCCAGATTTCAGATCCTCATCTCTCCCTCCTATCTGACTCCTACTGACACAGGTCCCAAAGCTGCTGCCATAAAAAGGTTCAAGTTCCCTTTCCTGACACACACAAGCATTGACTCAAGAGAACTGCTGATGTGGACATTAGTAGTAAAGCAGCATTTTAATAGCAGCAACAGCTAAAACTAACTCTTCTTTGCATAGCGAAGAGGAATAAGACCTCTGATCTAGCTGTTAAAGGTACTGATTTTTCATTCTTGTGCTTGTATTGGGTTCGATGTGTGGCTGAGTCACACAAGGGTCAAGCACAGGCAGAACTGCCTGAGAGAACTCACAGTGAGCAATATGAAGTCTAGTCCTCATCCCTGCACTTAACCCATGAAACTGCCCCAGGAATACTGATATTGCTGCTTGTATCCCTAAACTACTTCTATTTTCCCACCTCAGGTACTTGCAGGTGACAGTTACAGTACTTGCTCTTTATGAAACTGGCAGAATCAGAAAAGATAAGCAAATTGGCACTATTTGATGTCTCCTGTGCTCTTCAAAAAATAAAGACAAGCACATCTGAAGGCACACTGCAACAACTTCCTTCAAACCACACTGCTTATTCTAACCCTGGGAATCAAAAACACCAGCACAAGTATTTCCCCACCTATCATTAGCAATGACTTCTGGTTTCCCCCCAATACATCCTGCATAAATTCAGCAAAGCAGCTCTAGCTACAGTCTGCCTCTGACTTGTAAGACATGAGTAAGCCTGACACAGCACCTGAACCAAGATACAGACAGTCCTGTGGAAGGTAGGCTCAGTCCACACTTAATCCACTAAAGCAATAAACTTTAAACATTATTTTAATGGGTTTTTGGTTTGCTGTGGTATGCCTTTTATAGCCTGTCAAGCACTAGAAGAGGTTGCTTTCCACAGGGAGGATTTAGAGCGGCCGCTGTACATAGTGCTCTCACATTCCCCACTGCCAGTGGCCGCACACATTCCCTGTTTATGTTTGGGTGTCATGTAAGAAATCAATCAATTTTTTTGGTAAAGCATTCTGCTCCCTCTACTTTGAGTCTTCTTTTTCCTCTTACACCTTTCTTTCATGCCTCCCCCTCCCTCCAAGCTTCTTCAAAGCATCTAGGACCATTTGGAAATAATTAGACCTGAAGGGAAATGTTGGCCAGGCTGGGAGACAATAACAAGTGCCAGGAACCCTGGGTGCCCTTTCTAGCCACTTTGAAGTTCATTCAGATGGTACAAAGCTCTGTTTTGCTTTGTTAAAAAAAAATGGGAGGAAGAGAATGAGGCATGACAGGCCCATTGAAAAGGGAGCAGGTTCCTGTGAACTGACAGAGACCAAGTGCTGGGGCAAGAAACATTATCAAAGGGACCGACCAAAAGGGCTCCCACGGCCACTCTGCTTTATTACGTATACAAATTGTGCAGATGTGCATGTAGTGCAGGGAGGAAACAAGGAAAATGGAAAATATGGTATTACTATACCATGGAACCCCAGTTCTCCATGGATCATTGACCCACAGAGAAGACTTCAAATAGAATCCAGCACCATGGCTGCCGTGGCACTACAGAGTTCATCTCCAGTGTAATTGCAATTCTAACCAACAACATTCATCTCCACATGACGTCTGCAGAAGGCAATGACCCGGACTGGGGCTTTCCCCCAACACGAGCGGTGGTGCAGGGCATGGCCACCCTGCTCCAGGAACACTCCAACCACCAACCAAAGAGACCCTTTAACTGGATGGCTTTTTCCTTGCTGTAATTACTGGTGTTAATTATACACAGTGAAAATAGAACTAGAGCTTAGGGCAGAAATAATCTCAAGAGGCATTCCATGAACAGATACCTGTGTTCCTTGTTAGTAAGATTCTGGCAACTGAACACAATACAAGGGCAGCAGCCCAAGAGGTTCACAGGAAAGGCCAACTGAACTGGTTTAAGTGACCTAAGTGCTTCCTCTTCATTCACTTTCCAGGCATCTATATTCAAAAGTATCAGCAGCACTAACTCCACCCAGCAAGAAGCAGAAAGAAGTCTTGTTTTAGGCATCACTTAACAACTATAGTTAAAGCTGAACCAGATTGTATCTTGATGCTAGAATCCAGGCAGATAGACTCAAGTGATCTCTGAAGGTAGAACTGGGAAGATTGAATTTAAAAATATGGACAGAAACAAAGTCCTTCACAGAAAGTATATAGAAATTATATCCCACTTATTTCTCTATGCTTATTATTTGCATGCAAGAAACCTTAAATTTAACTTCTAACCTTGCTTCTGTAGTCACAAAGACCATAAACAGGCCTTCCACTCCTTCACCAGGTGCAACTGGCATCTGAAATAGCAATTCTCTTTTTATAACTAATGTTCATACAGATTAGCTCTCCAGGGCCACTAACAATTTCTTATGCATTCTGAGTAAGTTCATCAAGACAGGGGGACAGCTGATTGCTCACTGATCCAGCAGCCCAGGATGCTTCATCTCTTTCCACCTACAAAAAAAACCCACAGGAGCATTAAAACACTTAGCATGTAATTTGCACTGTCTCATTTCTCAATAATATGATCTGGTGGCTGAGGGCTCTGGACACTGCTGTGCTCAGGCAGCCTTGGAGACCACAAGGGAGCACTTAGGGAGATGGAATGGTAGATACATCATAACTTTTGGAGCAGGGAACTTCATCCTTCATGTTATTAATATGTATGTTAGAGCATATTATTAACCTTTCATACTAACTGTTACATGGGAAACCTGCATGGGCAGGTGAGATGATATTTTGTACTTTGTCCAGATAATCTTTACTTGGAAAAGAAAACTCTAAAGTGCAATGCTTCAAACATACTGGAAGCAGGCAACAGTGAAGATCCTGTTTCCCACTGCATCAGTATCTCAGCACCAATCTATACCAGACCGGGGTATTTCCACAGCAGGGAAATACAGCAACTCACTGTTGGGAGCCTTCAGACCTAATGGTCTGCTTGCTGGAGCTGAGGGCCCCACAGTATCTTCCAGAAACAAATACTAAAAGTTGATATTTGGCATTAGTAGCCAGGGATTTCCATATAACCATTACTAGTTTTGTTGCTGTTAAGGGGGCTGATTTAATGTCTCTTTTTTTTTTTTTTCCCTTTTTTTATTTCCTCTCTTCTCTCTCCCTCTTGTCTTTGCCACTGCATCAAAAAGTGAATATTGCCAACTGTTTATTTCAGGAATCCTTCTTCTAATTATCTCATATTTTGTATAAATTCACATAAAAAACACACACATAAGCTATTTGTTTGGGAACTAAAAACAAGATTGCAGTTTTCTGATGAGGATAAACCAAGAAAAAATTAGTAATGGAAACTTGGTTGCAATCTTCATTATGGAAAACCACTACTGGTTTGCAGTGAAGATTTAAAACAGGAAGACCAGCTAAAAAAAATTCAAGAGAAAGAAAAGTACTAAAACAGACTACAGAAGCAAAAGGGAAAATAATGGCAGAGATTTAACAGATGACATTGGCCTTTGGTATGTAGAATGTCCTGCCTATTAATATTTGAACAACACTGGTAGAGTTAAGAGCTCAGTGCATCAAACCAAAAACATAGTTAAGAATGCTGCAAGCATATGGATTAGGCATCAGACTCC